GGACAGGCTTTTTTGTTCTCCTCCCAAGTCGCACTATACGTGAATGTGAGAAAAAATGTGGGGAAGCCGAGACATGAGACCAATGCCATAGCATTCTCGTATCGAAGTTTCATGTATCTCGGCCCCCCGGTAAACGAACTTGGGAGGTAAACCTTTCCAGCTTGTACCCCACCCTCCCCCTGAACGGTCTCGTCATTGTTAATATCGTTGAGGACCTGACGTCCACCACGATTCGCCGCTTCAATCTCATCCAACGGCCCTATCCTCATGGCATTTTCAGCTGCCTTCGTCTGCGTGAACTTGATGTAGTTGAGCTTCTCGTCCTCGTATCTGGCATACATTTCGACCTGCCAAGCTTGAGACAGTCGGCCGAGGTGTGAGAAACGAGGCTCAGACAGCAGAAGGCAACGGGAATAATCATACTGGGACAATTTGTTGTTAAAATTGTCGCGGCGACCAATATGCCAGCCCAAAGTGCCTTGAGGATAGAGCAGAGGGTACTGGAAGGGTTCCATGAGGGGACTGAAAAGGTTGATAGAAGTGGGTCTTCCGGATCCAACTTTCCATACGGATAGCTTGCGGGGCTCGTAAACTGTCTCGTCGGTGCTTATGACAGCGTGCACCTCAACGCCTGTTTGCCTGTCGCCTAGAACGGGACCATGGGTAGATCTACTTGTCACTTGGAAATCCAAGTGAGCGTTCACAGCTGGCTCACTACCCAAACGCCGATAGTGAGTGACGTATGGATTCTGCTGTGACAGGTATCGATTGATAGAGTCAACAACGTCACCGTCAAGTGATCTACCCAAGGCAATGTTCCGCCGTTCTTCACCGTCGTCGATGTAAAGACGGGACCGGTTCACAAACTGAACGTCCCCAGCCTTAGTGGTAAACTTTTGACCAGGGTCGGACAGATTGTAGACCTGGTGGTACATTCTCCCTTCGATTTTAAAGAAAGAGAGACCACTGGGATGCCTGTACCCACCAGATACCTCTAAAGCACAGAACGCAAACAGGTCGTTGTAGGCACGAGCCCTATCGAGAAAACGCCGATCCGAATAGAAGGATTCATCAAGAGGACTAAGATCAAGGACGTTGCATGCCCCTTGACCACAACACCACTTCTTCCTACACTTTTCCTCCTCAAAAAGCCTGGCACCACAGTGAGTACATTTGAAAATTTCACTGTTCCAAAGAGAAATTTTTTTAAGACGGAAAGCAGGAATGTCGTCCAATAACTCCCCCTTCCAAGACCCCATTGGACCATGTTCAGAGATTTTCCGAGCAAGTGCAGCTGGCAAGTGACGAATATCAGAGAGCGTAGGATTTTTTAAACGGAAAATCTGAACTCTTCGGGCAGACGCTCCAGGATTACTCAAGTCGTAATCTCGAACAGCCTCCCGGTGCACTTCGGGGTGGTTTTGAGTGTAACGGCCGACAGCTTCCCTGTGAACCTCCGGGTGATTTTGGCTGTATCGGCCGACAGCTTCCCTGTTCACCTCAGGGTGATTTTGGCTGTATCGGTCAACAGCTGCTCTGTTGACCTCTGGATGGTCTTGAGAGTACTGTTTATTTTTCTCTTTTATTAAATCAGGGTGCGTCTCCCTGTATTTTTTCTTTGCCGCTTGCCCTTGCTCTTCTTTCGTAGTGTCCAAAGTTTTTGGACGCCCACGCTTGGCTTTTTTAGGTCTACCAGGACCTTTTTTACCCGCCAAGTTGGGACTTAATACTGTCTGCTGGGAGGGAGAGTTTGGTAGTAAATCAACGTTAGGTTGGTCGGAGTGATCAATAGCAATCTTAAGTTTCATGATACTATATTCTCCTCCGACGAACGCTGAGTTGACCAATAACATCGAGGCTAGAACACGAAAACTGACACATTGAAACAGTCTAGCCTTGTTTTTGTCCGTATCGATGTCTCTTCGACGGGTATCATTCATGCCGTGAGAATCGAAGAGATAGTACTGATCTCTGTGACGCCAAAAAGCCACAGTAACCAATTGCCCCGTGAATAGATACCCGCCGTCTAGAGAATCACCGGACATGGCGATATGATAAAGAATTAACGGCCTCGTGAAGACCCTGCACACTAGCCGGGTACAACCCGTTGCACACAAACGATATTTCCTCAACGGTAATCGAGGTACCTGCGATCTCGAAACGCCTGGCAAGTTCCTCGGGGAACAAGTACCTGTTAGTAACGTTATACTCACGGCGAGATTGCCGATACAAGCGGTCGCCGGCCGTGAGTATTTCGTCAATAGCATGAGTACTGAAACTCCCGCGGAACACTTGCCAAGCGAGAGCACAGGCCGAATTAGCCACACATTGAGCATTGCTACTGTCAGCGAATTTTGAATCCCCTTGATGAAAGGATCCAGTAGCAATGCAAGAGAAATCCATGATAAATAGACCAAAGGCAAAATCACGGAGAAAACCGAAAAATACAGTTAAATAGAAAAGCTCTAACTCCACAAGTGTAGTCAAATGTGGTAGCAGAAATCAGAGCGAGAACCAACATCAAAATTGACAAAATACAGTCTTACATCCAGGCGACCATCCAAAGGGTGTAGTCAAATCAGAGTGCAAAGTTAAGAGCGAGAACCAACTCATAATGTCGCTTTGGTGGGAAATACGTACTGCTTTACTGACATCAATTTTAAGTCAATGTAATCTATTTCCTATTACTGTTTAGGACATACCTAGTATTAGGAAAAATCTGTTTTATGGTAATTAAGGAAAACAGTTTTATGAAATTTAATAAAATTAAAAAACCATAGCTAAATTTTGAAAATTAAAAATTTTGTAAATCACCGCAGAGGGGAGAATTTTAATATTATAATTAACATTAAGAATTCCTTCGTGACCATGAAAATTCATTCAAATCTTGGCTTGCTTTTATTGCTTTTTAGTTATAGCCGATAAAAAAACGTGTTTTATAGTTTTTAGATGTCCGCCATTTTGGATTTTTGGGGAGGTTAAAATTTGAAAATGGGACTTTTGTAAATTTCACCCTTAACGTAGGATCCCATACTACAATACTACCAAATAACAAGTCTCTAGCACGTTTGTAAACGATTCAGATGACCATAACGAAGTCGTTAAATTTAAATGTTATCCTCCATAAGAATAACATGGGGCTCGTAAAAACTTTCAAATTTCCACATTAAAATTAAGTTTTGGTGGTCAACGAGTAAAGATACAAAAAAATATTAAATGTGTAAAATTTAAAGTAAATTACGGAGAATACAGAGCACTAATAATATCTGTAAAAAAGAATTATTTAAGTATGAAAAGATAGCGAAAACCGTAAAAAATTGAAAAAAATTTACAAAATTTTGAAAGTAGGGCGTTTTTTGAAGGTTAAGGAGTGCGATTTTCGGAAAACGCCCAAGAGGGTTTGATAGAAAATTTAATTCCTGTTCCTGGATATGCTTTCAAATCTTTTCTAGCTCTTACTGTTTTCGAGCTACATCCGGTTGAAAAAAACGTGTTTTGTCGTTTTCAGAGGTCCGCCATTTTGGATTTTTGGGGTGGTCAAAATTTGAAAATGGGACTTTTGCATATTCCACCGGTAATGTAAGACCTCATACTACAATGCTACGCAAATTTGAAGTCTCTAGCACGTTTCTAAGTTGTTCAGATGAGCTTACCAAAGTCGGCAATTTTCAATGCTATTTCCCATAAGAATAACATGGGGGGGAAATTCGAGATTACGGGGGGGTTAAAATTTAAAAATGTCACTTTTTGGAATTTTCCCGGGGGTTTGGGCACTAGACCTACAACCACCGAAAATTTCAAGTCTCTAGCTCATCTAGAAGTGGTCTAGAATTAGTATCCTCAGTGAGTGAGTCAGTCAGTTACACATCGGGCTGTATAGTTATTTAGATACCTACTCTGAGAGTATTCCTTGGTCAATGTCATCTGTCCCAAAAATATTGTTTCACTCTTCAAAAATTTTACTCATTTTTTAAAATAGTGATAACATTTGTTCACATTATACTTAAGAACTACGTGATATCCTGCATAACTTGTCTGTCACAATTGTATTTGTTTCAATTGGCTTTTTTTTTTGTTAGTTACTGTAATAATGTCAACTATATTTACCTGATTTAAAAGACCTGATGATATTATTTATACGGTTTTTCTGTTTCCCTTAACTGTGAATAATAGTTGAATACTTCAAATGAAAGTTTTAGTAAATCACTTATGGAAAAACATATTTAATGTCCTTCCCTTCCCAGTTTTATTTAGCCTAAGAGGGGTTTCCTCTGCGATTATCACAAAGTTAAGTCCATGTTTCTTACTAAAAATTGTAGCACTTCGGCTAACACATCCTTGTACATTGTTTGTAGAAATCTTCATATTGTAGATAACCCCCCATTGCTGTAACAATTACAGTTCAAAGGTTATTGCAACTTTAGTGATTTTTCCCTACTGCATACCCATGATAAAGGTTGTTGACAGGCTTATGGGATAAAGTATGTGTCAGATTGCTGATACCGTTTATTTTATGGCGGTCAGGCATACTTCATCACTGAATCTTTTTTAAATTGGTGAAGGTTCCATTTACAAACTGCACAGCACATTGATAAATGTCTCAATTTTTTGCCAGTCATGATTTAGTTTGTATGAATTTGGTTAATCCATTTTTGGAATTAGGAAAGTTACCTCAACTTTTGTGAACAAAATCTTTTGATTCATGAACCGGTGCTTTAATAATAACAGTCTAAACTTGTAATTTAGTACACAGAGACTAAAGTTATAATGTAAAAAAGACACTATTACACTTTTAGGTGAATAAGTCAATGACAGTAGTATAATAATAAGTAGCCAAGGTACTTCACATCACAACCATTATTGGGACATATTTTAAAACCTTGTAGTAGTCACGAACTAAACAGACTTAGTCACTCTATTTACTAAAATAGGCAAATCAGTTCTATGATGAGACTGAACTATTTACAGTATTGTTTTTTAAAACAATTTTCTTATTCCAGGTAAAGGTTCCGTTTTGACATTGGAGGGTAACATAGAAATGGAAGCCTTAATATGTGAAGGGAAAAATTTAAAATCAGGTAAGTAAACCTCTACCGGTACCGTTTTGTTAACACTGACGATAGTGCTGAGCAATTGCAGTTTTCTATAGAGTTTTCTAAGAGCCTTAGACTAGGGCCACACTTGGCGACTTTTTTTCGTGCCACTCTGTCGTGAAGACAAAGTTGCTGGGGGTGGCCACAATTGGCGACAATTTACACCTTTCAGTTTACTTTTAGCTAATTTCCCATATAGGGAATAAGCTATTACCGTAGTACTCATGGTAAGACTTGGACCCGGGGCCGATTTTGTAACGGGCTAAATGTGTAGGGGGGTTAAATATTCGTATTTGTTATTACCACGAGAATTAAACAGCCAAATATTGGCTGTTGCAGAAGCCTAGTCGCGACACTAAACTGACATCATACCTAACCTCTAATTCCACGACCGCAGACGTCAGTGTCAGTTGGTTGTTTGACGACTTTTGGGACAGGCTCCAGGAGGAAAAAGGTGGGCAAGCCACCTTCTGAGAGGTTTTTGAAGCTGTCATGCGCCTGCCTTCGCCGGCACGGGTCTCAGCTGACTTCGGTTCTGCTAGCCAATCAGCGAGCGAGTTAACCTTCGTCTTGAATTGTGATGGAGGTGAACTGAGGAGAGTGAAGAATGGTCATTCTGATTACCGGCTTTCAGAGATTCGTTCGTTCGTCTTTGTTTGGAAGTGTTTTGGTCGACTCGTGAAAAATCATTACGTTCGCTAGGCAATATTCGTGAAGCTGAAGTTCTTCCAGCTAATGTGAAGTGTTTTGGTTAGATAATAATCTACGTAGTTTGGGTGAGCTTTGTAATAAACCACTTAGGTTTTCGTACATCATTTTACTAGTTTTTAGTTGATATAACTTTGTCTAATTTCGAAGGCTAGTCCTGACTCACAGACCTAGTCAGCCGATATTTCAACCAACTATTGTACCTAAACGAGTAGGGAAGTCAAAGTTGGTGTTTCATTCTTTAATGTTACGTCCTGAAGTTTACGTTGAGACCTTACTTTAAGTTTTAAGTCCGTTTTAAGGTCACCTTAACGTCCCAAAGTTTGTCCCAGCAGACAGGCTTCTGCTGGACAAGTTTTGCCGAAGTTTGCTCAAGTTCACCACGTGAGAAAGTAGAAGTTTTAATTTTCGTTTTTAGGCTCAAGGTTTTATTTTTAGTTTAAGTTTTTCTCGTTTCGTTTCTCATCTGGACAACTTGGGCCAGCTTGTGCTTTTTTTTGTTTTGTAAATTCAGACTCTGTGGGGCTAGGCTAGGCCTATCTTAAGCCAACTTTTGTCTGTTTCAGGTTAACCCTAACTCTGTAGGCAAGCGGGGTGAATACTTAGTATATTGGTTTTCTAGTTAAGTAGCTAGTAGAGTTTCAAGTAGTTATTGGCCACAGAGTCCTATTAAAATTATCGGTTCCCACAAACTCTCCTGACTAGATTGGTGATTATAAGTGTGGTGTCTGGTAACCCGCTACGTTCGTCCCGAGCTCTGATAACCAAGGCTATCAAATTGAGGTTATCCTAATTACTATCAACTCCTGGGGAAATCCCCGCAACCCGACTTATGCGATTCCTGGGACTTCGTTTATCGTACACGTGGCGTAATTTCCCACGTTACGCCCTCAGGAAAATTTTGTCACAATTTACTTTTTGCGTTTTGAGGTCCCTAGAGGCCAAAAACACCATTCGTTCAAATTCATATATATTTATATATATGTGCGTGTGTCTGTTAGCATGATAACTCAAGCAAAAAAGATCCGATTTTCATGAAATTTTGTATAAACATGTAAACCTACATTTATTCGAACGAGTTTGCTAACCATCATGATCGGACTATGGGAACGGGAGTTTATGGGGGGTTTTATGGGGTAAAAATAGGGTTTTCCCATTTTTGAACCTAAATAAAAACACAAAATTTCAATTTATTTCCAACTTATTTTGTAGAGCTTAAAAAAACAAACAATTTAGTATATTGTAGCGTTATTGTGTGCCTAATGGTTACAGAGAAAATTCCAAAAAATAGTAAATTTAAAATACCCATGTTATTTTTATGGAGAATAAGTCAACTGTTGTTGTTTGCTTGTTTAAGAACGTATTGTGATCAAAACATTCATTTCTCACTAAAATATTTAGAATTTCCAACAAAAAACACTTTTTTACCCTCCCTGTTCCAGCAAACATAAGTACTCGTTAAACTAATTCTATTTAAATAGGGAATAAATGTGGTATTTTTAAAACGTTTGCTGCTGAAATTGCTGTAATAGACGTTGGTATATGCTGAAATTTTTTTCTTTATTTGACTTACCAAACGATGTTATATGGTGAATACATAGATAGTAGGCATACATCTTTTTGTACCACCTGATAGATTTTCGCTCACAGGGGTAGTATGCCATCATTTGATCGGCACGATCCACTCCCTTCATACAATGATTGTACTGGATGATAGGGAGTGGTTTTGTCCTCTGAAGCATAACTCTGTTGAGGGAGGTAACCATTTCATTGGTAAATTCAGTTGAAATGTAGGACACAACTCTTTTATCTTTCCACTTACCCACCATGACCCCCTCAGCATACTGTTTCACCCTTTTTCAGCTTCTTGTTTTAGACTGCAGTTGGATTGTACTTTCTGCCAAGTCTTAGTGTACCTGTAGGCCTACAGTATGTATTCTTACGCAACAGCGCAGATGCAAGGGAGAAGCTATTATAGAAATTGTCCAGGAGTAAGCTGTGTCCACAGTTCACCTTGTTTTGCATCAAATGAAGCACTACATTTGCTGCGTGCCCTTTCCCTTCAAAATCATCCAAAACACCACAGCACATAAAGAACTTCAGTATCAATCCATGGGGGTCACACAAGGTGTACAGTTTGATTCCGTACTTATGTCTTTTACCCTTTATGTACTGCCTACCATCGACTCGTCAACACATAGTTTTTTTTTTTTTTTTAAGGGTAATACACCCAGTTCATTTTGTTGTTGAAGTAGTCCACAAGAAACTGTACTTTGCTGGCACGATTACTTGGATCAGGTCAAACTTCAAAGTTTATGCATCGGATAATGATGAGAAAACGATCCCTGCTCATGAAGGACGAAAAACAAGATTTGAACAGTTTGTTATTTTTTCAATAGTCCTGGATTCGAGGCAACTCAATAACTCCCATATTGGTAACTAAGCAATTAAAATCTTCAGTTCTTCCACAGTTAAGTCTTTGAACTTCTTGAATTCTTGATCCTGGGAGGGTCGACAGACCACAAAATAAACCTAACGCATAGCTGTTTGTGGCTTTTACGATACTCTCCAAATAAAGGTCATCCACAAGTAGATAAAAAAAACTCATAGGTGATTTTCCCTCTGGTAACGGAACCAGAAAACCTTCCTCTTTCGTGAATGGGATGTCTTTCATTCCAATGGCACAATGGTTGCTCCAGTTTGGAGGGTTTTCTTCATAATTCAGGTCTTCATCTTCAGACACCAAATCAAACGCCATATCATCCACATTGTCGTTGTCTAGGTCGTCTGGGTTGTCTGGATCATCGTTATTTAAGTCACTGTCATCATCCAATGCGTGTGTTCGAAGTGGATAAACTACCCCACTGGGACCTAGACATATATCCATATTGTACCAAACAAAGTAAAAATCAAATAACACACTCCGAAAGGTAAGTTATAGGTCACTAGAAAGTTCTAGGATGGGCAAAAATGGCCTTTCAGACCCACATGTTTATGAACTTTGCATGTAGGCCTAGTAATGAAATGAGTTCAAAACATCATAGTGGTTATGAGTATATCACGAAAACAAATAGTGCAATTAACTTTTCACTAAAACCAAATGAAAACAAACTCAACTTATGTAAATAAACAACTCGGAACACAATGTAAACAAACATGAAATATAATGGTTGTGATCAGCGCACCCATCTGTTGTGAGCTAATTCTTCAATCACCTGGACGTAGTTACGGAGATTTCCGTAGATAGCAGCACTAATCAGGTCAAGAAGATTACTAATTTTGATTCCGTAGCGACAAACAGCGAAATATTCGGGTGTAAATAATTTCTCAAAATAGTAATGTGCGTTACGTAATCTTGTTATTTACTTATTTATTTGACAAATGTAAAAAAATGCTATCTAAAAACTGACATTGCAAAAAATGCGGGAAAAGTACGTCCCCACAAGCCGAAACAACATTGTGTGTGTTCCTGAAATGCTGAGTCGTCCATAGCAACTTTAATAGAACGTTGCTAGGGAACGTTCCAGAACGTCGGCCACAGTGAACGTGTTAAGGAGGCATTTTAATGTAAATCTGTTGTAATATTAAGCAGATATTATAATTAACATCTGTTGGTTTATTGACTTAGATTGTAAATATTTTTAATGTTCTTGCTTTATAACTGAATCTAAATAAAATAATATACTTTTGATTTAAAACTAATGAATTATCATTAATTTATACATGGTATTAAAACAAAATCCAATCAGGCTAATGGAAATTCGCTTAGTCTGCAGGTTTGCTGTGGTGAGGGTATTTTACCATACCAGTAAAAATTGGAGTTTTGAGATGTTATATTGTATTTTCAAAAATGTGTCATTGATTATGGAAATAAATAAGGATCTATGACAGTTTTTGTATGTTTTTGGAGCACCATAATAGAATACATCGATGATTTTACTATTAATTCCAGTATCATACAATTTAAGCGAATCTTTTACAAATTAAATCATATAGTAACAGTATTTTCATACATGCACTGGCACCTCTTTATATTTCGTACTAGGTCACGTAATAGTTTCTAACCATTTACCAGCAACAAAAGATATACAATTTTTACTAAATAAATGTGTTAAATTATGTTTCTAAAAGCAATGTGTACGTCTAAATCGTCAAATCACAGTTTAATGCTTGCTTTTGCTATTTATTGTATATCTAAATACCCAGTGGCAACAAACCTGCAGACTAAGCGAATTTACATTTGTTTGGCGAGATTTCCACTAAAATATTCACTTAAA